TCACAGAACAAAAGTCTGCCTTCCAGTGAACCCTCCCCATTCGTGCGTTCAGCTTCGCTGATGATCCATGATGTAATCATCATCAGGAGCCAGCAAGTGCTGATCTTTGTAGATAAGAACCGGTACAAAAGGCACTTCCTCCGCGACAGTATTCGCTATTTCCGAACAGATTAGCAACGCAATTTTATCTCCAGCCTTGATAACAAAATCTGCACCTCGCAAGGTATATAAAACGACTTCCACATTTTCTCGACAATCAGAATCGATCACGCTTGTCGCGACGTCTATTCCATACTCATCCGCAAGTTCGAACAGCGGAGCAATGCGACCGTAGGTTCCCGGTGGTACACATATCTGCAGATCAGTTTTACACGAGCAGTAGCCTAAACAGTATTATTCGTCAAGCATGACATATTAAACCATTAAAGTTAAACAGAAGGAATTTTATGAAATAATACGCGCATAAGCATAAAGACGGTAGCATGTGATTAATGCATCACTTCACAGAAAATATCGCGGTTTGGAACGGTCGCTATCTGATCTTTGTCCACAAATGCATTTTATGATGGTTCTGGTTACGCATTGACTGTGGCTGTAGTGAATTTCCACATACGCAACAGACATTCTTGGGAAGGATGGAGCATTTAAGCAAAATCTTAAACTGAAAGACAACAGAGAATGTCTGGAAATAATCCTCACCAAAATTCATAACAATGGCAACCGTGTATTTTATCACTGAATAAGGAAAATATTCCGAAAAGACGTCGCATGAATTATGAAAGCCTATTTAAATAAAATGGAAAAGTTTAAGAAGCGTAAGTCATACCAGTGCTGACAGCAAGACCTTTCAACTAATCCACAAAAACCAAAAATGTGTTCCCTCAACCCTTTATTTATTTCTCATTCAGACAGCTTTTTCATGGCTGAAAAAGACACGCTAAAGGCAGGAAAACTAGCCTTAAGCTTACCTGGGTTTTGAAATTTCAAGTCATATATAGCAGGCAAAATGCAGTGCACCTGAAACACTGACGGGCTGTATAAATGCGAGATGCATCCGGCATTGCAGGTTTTCAAATACCATGGAGGCACAGTCTGCTTAAATGTCTCCCAGGCAATTAGGAGCAACGGGGCGGCGTAATTTGCCGCAAAATCTGGTCTTGGAGGAGTTACGCGTTATAGGGGCTATACTCGTGCAAACTCACTATTTTCTTAGTTCCAATATGAGACGAGGCCGGTATGAATACCGATGGGATGGGACGGTATGAATACCGATGTCTAAGCAGCTTTCATCACTGCACTTACTAGACCAGTAGTTAAGTACATACACAAACCTTCAGATCGTGGGCGCTGATGCAACGGTTCTGCCAGCTGGCTGAATCTAAGTTTCTCCGGTCGATGGGCAGTTGCAGCAGTGAACCAAGTACGACAATAATAAAAGGAGAACCAAGATGTTTGTTTAACGCTTATCCGTTTTAAGCATCATAATATTCTGCGACTGATATATCAAGCTATGCTTGCGATATGTCTGATCCTTGCCAAGGTTATATATGATCTGTGAACTAGATCAGCCCAATCTACCTATTAGTTAATCGTTTTAAGTATTTAACAGACCCGTTAATGCGAAGACTCTCAAGGACAGTTGACCGAATGTAGCAGCATGCAACCCTTAGTGAATACTTCAAGAACGCGTCATGGTGGTATATTAGGAGAGGGCAACAGATAAAATTAGGAAATCGCATGCTGCTATTCTTACCGACTTCATACCTGGTGACTAGGCACTGGCATATGGCAAAACCAGTTTAAAACTTTGTTTGGAGATCTGCAAGTGTACAAAATGGTAAACCGAGTCACCTAAGCGATGAATTTTTCCAATTTATGATCTTACGGGTAAGAATTTGTGGATGTCAACTCAGGCGAAGATTTTCTCTGCATGACTAAAATTTAGATTAAACTACATTAATGGGTTATATGTTAAGTTTATAAAAAACGTGTTGTTTGGGCAGTTGCACAAGCGGTTAATATGTTATTTGGAACATTAAAATGCCGAGTTAAAACCACGCATGACTTATGTTTTCTCTTATTAACTGCTTATTTCCCTGAGGTTGGTGGATTCAGCCCACTGTGCTTCGGTGCAACCAGCGAAAAACCGTGAATAACTGGGAAAACATGTTTTCGTGCGATCATGCCAGTAATTGCGAGCAATGTACGGGCGCAAGACAGCATCACTTGTTGGGTCGGACAAACATGTTCGAACACCAACGAATATTCTTCAGACTGTAGGGGCACTAGTAAAACTTAACCCCGATATCATGGATTTCCTAGCGAACTCGTGATTTTTAGTGCTGTCAGTACGAATAACAATCTCCTGTCACGAATAATACAACAATAAAAAGTCTCAAAATGATCACCCGTTCTCTCAGCCTCGCTTCCAAAGCATCGCACACAAAGCAATACTAACGAAAAATTTAATGCAAGAACGATTTTAGAAGAGGTTTTGTCTTGAGTCATTTTTTATCTAATGAATGATTTTGTACGTACTTAGAGGTCCGATAACGTAGTCATAGGCGCTGTAAAGTTCGAACATGACGGACGAGCCTTTATGCTTCGTTGGTGCGATGGCGTGCTCCGTCAACTTCGCATACTTCAAGACCACTTCTTCTTCCGATGATGCTGACATCATTGTTGCGAATGAGTAAGAAGATGAAATCGAAGACCGCGTACTAGATTCCATTGCCAAAGCTTTGTGCAACACACGCTAGGCACAAAGTTACAGTATATTTCAGCTTTTCAAATTCCCTCTGCAGGTTCTTTGATAATGATTTGTTACATAATACGTTATTGTTGATTCATAGCAAAATGATATTGTAACACTTCAAACAAGCGAAAAATTTTGTATATTTCTTGGCCGTTGCTTCCATTATCGCGAAATTTTCGCTCATATGATTTCAGTGTTTATTACTGAATATTGGATTCGAAA